GGGTAGCAGAGCAGACCACCCTGGACGCAAGTGCCCTCTGTCGTCCTGCCTGGAGCTTCTGTAGGCTGGCTGGGCTCAGCCGGGTCCCTCTCCCCTTGGCCCCACTTGGGGCTCTCTGGGGGCTCCTCTGGCTGGTGTCCAGGACACTTGCTTCCATGGTTGGCCTGTGGCATTTTGCTAGTGGCTCGGAACCCAGAGATACTGCCGACCAGAGCCCCCGCACATGCCCTTTTTGTGCTGAGGAGGTCTCGGAGCATGGCGGTGAGGCTCTGAGGGAGCAGGACCAAATGCCTGAGAGGGGCAGACAACCTGTAGGACTCCTGCTCATTCTGCCTTCCCCACCTCCTGCTGTTGCAGCCTGGTTTCAGAGGGCACAGAGCCCAGCTCCCCTGCGGAGGGATGGGAGGAGCCCATGCCGCCCTCTGTGAAGCTCGCTACTCAACTCAGCACTGGGGCACAAAGTCCCTCACTTCACTGTGCTCTTCTGGGATGGCCTCCTTTTCCAGAGGCAGTCAAGCCAGTGCTTTTGAGACCTGAGCCAGGTGGACCCGGGAGGGGCGACCTCCAGGATGACCATCGGAAATGAGGAAGTGGGGGCTACATGCAGTGGAGACGTGGTTTCGAACTGGCTCTGCCCTCTTTTTCCATCTCAGCTGATGACCCGCCCCCCGAGCCGGGAAGCTGTGGTGTGAACATGAAGGGGTGGCTGTGAGTGGGCGCAGGTGGGGTGTCGGCATGTAGACAGGTGCAGCTAGGTCCAGGGTGCCCCTGCCATGAAGAGTCGAGAGGCTTTCTGCGGTGACCTGAACCTCCTTGCTGGCCCTCAGTGGGCCTCCTGAGGGAAGCTGGGCCAGGACACAGGGCCTTGGGGCTGCCGTCCTGTCCCGGCCTGCGTCCAGGCCCACGCCAGCTGTGGTGCCGCCCTCTCAACTGTGTGGTCACGTCAGACCTGCCTCCTCACCGTGCCCCACTCCTGTCTTTGGGGTCTCAGAAGTGAGTAGGGGTGGTGTGGACACTCCTTTCAACGTGCCAGGGCAACAGTGCTCTGGACAAGGCCTCCTGGACACACTGAGGTAGGTCGCTCAGACTTGGCTCCAGTTGTTTCAAAGCAGGAGTGTGCAGCTCGGTCACAGTGACAGGTAGACGCCGGTGGACCCTGCACTGTCCTGCGTGGGCAGGACTAAGTGCCGAGGGAGCCACCCGGCACCAGCCTCCTGGCCCTCACAGCGGTTATGCTGTGCTGTGAACCCCACTTGGAGGGAGGCGCTCATCTGCTGCCACGGTCTGTCATGCTTTCCTCAGGAAGGTGCCCGGCAAGGTCACCACAGAGCTGGACCTCGCCTTCAGTGATCCCACAGGAAGCCTTGCTGCCACCACGGAGCAGGACGCACACGTTTCCCGGCTCCATTTCTGTGGGAGCTCTGGCTAATGGGAGTTTAGCTTCAGGTTCCAAATCGATGGGCTCTTCGCGAGTCACAGATGTCATTGTGCACTGAGGGAGCACAGAGCAGGAGCGCCCTCCTCCCTTTCAGTGTGGGGCGTCCTTGAACATGGAGGCCCGCTGTAGGGCTCTCTTGGGTCTGCGAAGGGCTCTGCCCTCAGCGTCACACTGAGACCGTCCTCACTTCTCCCAATGCAGTTACACAGGGCCGAGCAGGAGCTGAGGCTGGCCCAGCCCCGACACTCACAGGAGGTCCAGTGCCTACGGGAGCAGATGGACCAGCTGGTGCCCCAGGACCGTGTGGCTGAGCTGGAGCGTCTGCTGGGCCTCCAGGAGGAGGCAGCAGGGAGGCGCCTGGAAGCACAGCGGGTAAGTGGGCTGCCGGACACCAGCAGGAGAAGGCCCGAGAGCCAGCTGGTGTGACGGGGAGGGTAGACAGAGCACTCTGTTCACCAGGACTAAACAAGTGTAAAGCCCAAGGCCCAGGGAGGGCAGCCCACAGCCAGCGCCAGTGCCAGCACCAGTGCCAGCTCCAGTTGGAGGGGGGCAGTGTCTGGTCCTCTCTGCAGCAGCAAGGGATGTGCTCAGGGTGGAGTCTCAGGGAAAGGGAGCAGGGAACTGCTGATCCTGAAGATCCCTCCAGCAACAGGTCACAGGTCCTCCCAGACGTGGCCCTTGATATCACACTCATAGACCTGAAAGGGGGCGATAGAGAGGCTGCTAGTGATGGAGGTGCAGGGACCACGTGCCCGCCCCCAGGGGTAGCTTCTCCAGCCCTGTCAGTGGGAGTGTGCAGGCTCCAGGATGTCTGTCTTCTGATGTCAAAGAAAAGCTGAAACTGGATTCTTACATGGAAACGCCCAGTTTACAAATGGTACTTCTGGTTTAAAAAGACACTGAGGCCATTGTGCAGACTAAAGAAAACCCACTTGGCATGGGGACTGCAGGCCGCCCCCTTGCAGGACGTGACTTCTTGAGCACACACTGCTTTGGCCGTCGGGACAGGCGTAAACAGCGAGGCAGGGGCCTGCCCTCCTGGAGCTTAGTCTGGTGGTTGGAGGTACTCGTGTGGTGTGCAGGTGGGCATGTGGAGCCAAGGTCTGTGCTGAGTGAGCTGCGTGGTTTTCAGTAGATGCCAGAGGACCTCACCAGGAGTGCTCTTGAGTAAAGAGCTGAAGGAGGTGAAGGGCACAGCCACCCAGTTACCTGGGAGCATTCCTCGTGTGTGCAAAGGCCCCGGGGGTGGGTGTGTGCTCAGCATGTGTGATGGGGGCGTGGGGAGAAGGCAGTGGCACAGACTGCTGTGTGCAGGCACTGTCAGGCAGCTAGAGTGAGCACAGTCACTGCCTTAGGGAGCAGCAGGTGCCCCGAGCACGGGCTGCAGAGATGGGGCCTTACTCCACCACTTCCCAGGCCAGCCAACCTGTGTGTGTCAGTTTCCCGATCTAGAATTCAGGCACCAACCAGTGGCCTCAAGGCCTTGTTGGGAGGCAGCCAGGGGTAAGCACTGCTAAGGTTCCCGGATAGCTTGGAGCACACGTGTGCCTGTGTTCACGCCTAACCTAAAAGGCACAGCTCAGTCCTAAGACAGCACAGCCCAGTTCATGGAAATGCCCGGACAGAGTTCAGAGAATGTGGGCACCTGGTAGGTGTGAGCCAGGAGCCAGAGAGCAGGCGAGCCCTTCATGACGCAGAAACTGGAGCAACACTTGAGAGAAGGATGCAGCGGTGTCTGTAAAGCAGAGATGCCGACGAGCAGTAACTAGCCTCACGACGGCGTGCTGGAAGTTACACAGCGATGTGGTACTGATGAGACCGATTCAGCCAGGATCCTTTAGAAATGCCCCATGCTAGGGACCAGCAGTTAGCGTAATGGCTATGTCGCTGGACTCCCTCGTAGTCAACCATGGTTTGTGTCCCGGACCCAGCGGCTTAAATTCACGCCGGGCACATGTGCGTGCATGCCCAAGATCCCGAGAGGAGAATGGAGAAGGGATTGCGGCATGGCCATCCCCCCTGGGGGGTGATTTCTCGCTTTCTGTCTCTCTGTCTCTGTCTGGCTGGCGAGCACATGCACCCTGTAGCAAAAACCTCTCCAAAAAAGAAAATAAAGAAAGAAAGAAATGCCCCATGCTCTGGGAGCTCACCTTGGAGTCCTCCATGGTTCAAATCCGAGGACTAGTTCCTTTGAAGACAAATCCTCTGCCAATGCACGCTGAGCCACAGGAGAGCTGCCAGCATTGTGTCTTGGCCAAATCCTAGTTCCTTTGAAGACAAATCCTCTGCCAATGCACGCTGAGCCACAGGAGAGCTGCCAGCATTGTGTCTTGGGGGGCAGCGAGTACTAGTTCTAGCTCTCTAACATGTACTAGTTGGAAAGTTACCCACAGTCACTCAGGTCTGTACCTCTTAGCTAATTTCCACTTAAAGTGATTAAGCCTTGGCATGATTATTTTAGAAATGTAAAAAAACACATCCTCTCATGTGACAGGAAGAGCATGAAAACCAGCGGAAAGCCTCAGAGGAGCGGGTGGAAGCAGTGGGGGCGCTCCTGAAGAACGTGGAGGTGCTTCTGCAAGAGAAGGCTGCCGACCTGAGAGAGCAGGTGAATGGGCAGTGGTTACACCTGAGCTCAGCCTCTTTTCTAGCATCTTCTCCTAGTGTGGGCTTCCAGTGGCTGGTCCGGGAGACTGCCTCACCCCAGAACTGCTGGGGTGCTCAACCTCACCAGGAACTGCTGAATCTGGAGCGCTGTCTCAACTGTGTTTTGAGAATGTCTATGTTTTTCTGGAAGATTAGTAATGAATCAATTAGTAATCAATAGAGGATTTTACCGAGTGCACACTCTATATCTGTATATTGTTTTTTTGTTTCTGTTTTTCAGTTTTTGCCATAGAGTCTGTGTGTTCACCAGAGAGAGACAAAGACAGGGAAAGTGAGAAATCACCCTGGCGGGGGGCATGACCACACCCTTCTCCGTTCTCCCCTTGGGATTTTGAACACGCATGCACATGTGCCTGTCATGACTTTCAAGCCACCAGACCCAGGATTTGAACTACAGTTGGCCATGTTAGGAAGTCTAGAACCTTAACCACCATGCTACCTGCTGGCCCTGTATTTATTTACATAATTTATTTCTTCCACAAATGACAGGCTGAGATGGAGAGAGAAGTGCCAGCAGGTCTTCACACCACAGTCCACCCCAGCCTATACCAGGCCCAGATCATGGGTGACACAAGCTGTGCATGTACAGGGGCATCTTGGGACGGGAACCCTGGGCCTTTCCCTGTGGTCTGCCGTGTAGAGTAGACACCACTCTCCAGCCCCTGTATTTTCCCCTTAGGAATTGCTTTAAGATCTCTTTTCTAGATGTTCACATTCTTAGACAGGACGTCCATGCATGGATTCATTCATGCCCGGTTCTTTGCAGATGTTCTCTGCGTGCCTGGCATGTGCTGAGGGATTGCACTGGGTATGCTGAGCCTAGCAGGCCCGAACCTGCCGTTCTGAAGGTAGAGACAGATGCCTCCATATAGCATGAAGGGGTTCAGGCCTCAGAAGCGCTCTGAAGACAGCCTGGACGGGGGAGGAAGGGACAGTGGAGACCAGTCCAAGGAACTGGCCCTGCAGCAGCTGTGATGACCCAGCCCCAGAAGGCCTAGTCGTGCTGTGTCCCCAGAGGCTAGGTGGCCTCATGGAGGCTCTCCTGCTGAGCAGGGCTGCCTGTGCCTTACAGAGAGTGGACAGGGACCAGCAGTTAGTGTAATGGCTGTGTCGCTGGACTCACGTAGTCGACCGCGGTTCGTGTCCCGGACCCGGTGGCTTAAAACTCATGCCGGGCGTGGGTGCGTGTGTGCGTGCCCAAGATCCCGAGAGAATGGAGGAAAAGGGATTGTGGCATGGCCATCCTCCCTGGGGGCTGATTTCTCGCTTTCTGTCTCTCTGTCTCTCTCTGTCTGTCTGGCGAGCGCACGCACCCTATAGCAAAAACCTCTCCAAAAAGAGAGAGAGAGAGAGAGAGTGGGCAGATATCCCAGACGTGGGACATGGGAGGACTTGGAGGGGGTTGTGGAGGCTGCTGTGAACAAGTTGGGAGCAGGTGCATATTGTTAAAGAAATCATGCTAGGACAAGGCAATTTAGCTGTGATAAAGAGTAAAGATGGAAAAACAGTGGCAGTCAGTCCTAGGTCAGTAAAAGCTCACCGTCTAATGAAACGGGCAAGAAGGACAATGGAGTGACGCACACCTGGGGTGGAGACAGAGCAGCGGCTGTTAGAGCTGGCACAGGATGGGGACAGGGCTGGGCACATACAAAAAGACATGTGAAGTCAGAGAGCTATGACCCACTTGGCTCTGAGGGACCCTGAGCTGTCCAGACTGGATGAGACGTTGGTACCTCTTGTCCACATCGCCTGCGTGGGACCCACCCTCTCTGTGAGCCCATACCCCAGTGCTTCCTGTTCGTGCCCCCTCGTCCTCTCAACAGCCGCGGATGGCCACTGCCCTGCATAGTTTGCCCCTTGCCCTGCAGAGCTTTCATTCTGGTGCAGCCCTGCTGCTCCTGCACACTTGACGGGTGCCCTCACCTGCTTGTTTGCATTCCCCCTGCCCCTGCAAGAGGCCCCCCAGCCCAGGTCCTCTGACCCCCTCCTCCCTGCCCTGACTGGCTGATCACTTCATTGCAAGGTCAGGAGAGCTGACCTGCACTCCCTCCACATCCGCCTGCCTCCCTCCAGCCACAGCTCACAGCCAGCTCCAGGCCTCTCCCACTGTGGCTCTGCTCCTCTCACCGCCTGCCTCTGTGCTCCCACTGCCACTGGCTTTGGTCCACACCTTGCAGCCGACCTCCTCAGCCATGGCCATATCTCAGCAGCAGCTCCACCTCCCAGGTGAACCCAATCCAGCCCCTCTCACTACCCACCCACTGCTCCAGCCTCACCCTCTGCAGCTGGGTGGACTCCTCATCTCCTCCCCCAGAGTGTCTGAGCAAGGAGCGGCAACAACCCCTTCACCAAGGAGATGGTCTATGGGCTCTGTGGAGAAAATTGAAGGCGACTTTGTGAAAACCGTTTTTATGAAGAGTTAGAGCTCCGTGCCTATCCTGCTTGGAACCATCCAGTCCCTGAGTAAAGGCAGTTTCCCAGGAGCCTCCAAAGCTCTCCAGATCCAGCTCCCTCCCTTTGGCCCCTGCCTAGAGCCCTGACTCTGTGTCTGTCCCATCTGTATCCCCGCAGCCACAGCAGCCTCCAGGGAGCTCCTCAGTCAGCCTGACCTGTGCCGACCACAGGGCCTTGGCACTTGCTCTCCCCTCTGGTCATTCACATCTCTGCCCAGATGTCTTTAGGAGAGGCCTTCTCTGATCACCTCAAGCAAAAGGGAACACTCTGATCCCCACTGGCCCCCTGCTGTTTTAACTAGCACTTCCGTTTATCTGGTTTTCACCTCCCTCCCACATTCTAGAATGTGCACTATAATGGGGGCCAGACGGGGTGTAGCAGTGTAAAGCAATGCTCTTCAAGGCAGTCCCACGTGGGAGGCTCACAGTTCAAGCCCAGGACCCCCAAGTATGCCAGGCACCACCCACTTGCCCATGATCTGGGGCTGACTGAAGACCAAAGGTGAACTGCAGCGTCACTACTCTGTTAGGGGTGTGCTCATTCTTTCTTGCTCATGGAAAAAATGAACAAATAACTCCGTGAGAGCACATGAGGGCATTGCTGAGTACATGGTTCAGTGCGTGAGCCTTTCTAAGCCTGGCCTGGGCCCTGCGCCTTCATATCTTAGACAGTTGCGGCAAGTGCTGTGGTCTCGTGGTCCTGTCACTGAAGCCTGCACGGCTGTGCTGCACAGTGGGCTCAGGCCCTGGCTGGGCGGCGGGCGCAGCCCTCGCATGTCCCGGGTGCATCCCAACCAGAGCTGCTGAGAAAGGCCGCATTTCTAGCAGTTCTGTTTCTTCTCTCCCCATACTGGTGGGAGGGCTGATGGAGGCTGTCCATCTCTAACTCATCATAGAAAAACAATTTTCACAAAGTCGCCTTAAATTTTACCCACATAGTCCATAGACCATCTCCTCCCTCACGCCGGGATAACAGAATCGCCATTGTGTCCAGTATGTGCATCCGGTTTGTAAGAGCCCCGCATGATGATTGGAACAGGTGTGGGGGATAAGGGGACACACAAGCCGGGCATGTGGCATTTCTGAGCTATTCTCGATGACATGTGCCTTTCTCCCTCTAGTTTGAAAAGAATGCAAAGTCCTGTTTGCTGATCACGGAGCTCTATGTGGAAAACGGTCACCTGATGAAGGCGCTGCAGATCACCGAAGAGAAGCAACGTCACGCTGAGAAAGAAAATCGCCTCTTGGAAGAAAAAGTCCATGCTCTCAACAAGCTGGTTGGCAAGATGGCTGCAGCTTCCCTCTCTGTTTAGACAACTCGTTGCCTGGAATGTGTCTTAAAGAGCACCTTCTAGAATCAAGGCATGGTGGCTGTAGCTCTCAATGAGCCTGGGTTCACGCCTGCTTGGATGCATGAGGACTAGACTCTCTTCGCTACATAAACATTTAGCAAATGTCTGCTATGTGCCAGATGCTGGGGAAACATGCATGTTGTGAGAGACTTATTAGGGCCTGGGCTGCTTCCCTACGTGAGTCCCAGGGTGGCTACTCACTGGCAGGTCAGATCTGGGACTCACAGGAAGGAACGACTAAGAGTCAGAGAAAACCCTCTGCCGTCGCTCTCCAACCTGGGCTGCAGAGGCTGCAAGGCAAACCCAGGCTCTATGAGTTGTCACTGCTTCGCTGCTGCTGCTAGGGGACTCTGGGTTCAGAGTGCTAGAACTCCTTGTGGGACTGCTTGCACATTTCAGAAAGGCTTTGCAGGTGTGGATGGTCTACCCAGTGATAAAGGAAGGTTCACCCCTATTTCAGGGCCTGTTCCCCCTGGGCTGTCTGGGCAGGGCTGATCTCAGGTCTGCGACTCAGGGCTGAGTTTATTGCAAAGGCAGCCTTTTCCTCATTGCAATATTGTCACACTGGAAATTGTACTATATGTAAGGAAAAAGTATAGTTTTATATCTGAAATATACATAAATTATGGCTATTTGGCTTATCAGAATGAACTACTGAAATATAAGTCACTATATTTGCAATAAATTCTTTTCTATTAGCATTGACTTCTAAATTGCTCTTTAATTTTGTGTATTATAAAATATTTCAAATATAGAAAAAGTTTTACCAGAAATACCAAGGTGCCCATTAGCTCAATATGTTTTACTTTCTTTTACCACATTTTAGACAGAGCCAGGCTCCTATTCTGCCCTTTATGTCTCCTTCCTATTTTTGGAGGCAGCAGCGTCCTGAGGCCGGCCCTCCACCCATCTACCCCTACACCACTACACATCCTTGCAGGGGAGCTTCATAGCTCCATGCAGACTAAACTGTGGCTGGTGCAAAGATCAGTTCTTGGACAGGAAGACTCGACAACTTAAAGTTGTGCAGTTCTTTCAAGTTACCTGATGACTAGAAAATAGTCCCAACAGAAATACAGACAGGTGTTCCCAGCCCTAGTAAACACTGAGCTTTAGATCTGGCATTTCTAAAGTTTATATGTATGATATATAAGCACACAAAATAATCAGGAAAACTGAAAGAAAAAAAATAAAAAAGGACAGAACCAGCTCCAGGCCTCTGGTCAGCCAGGGACACTGAGGCAGGGACAACTCTGCCCCCTCACCTCACCTCAGGCCCCCCAGACAAAGACCCCACCCCCTAGACTGTCCTTTCCCCAGCAGCAGGCAACAGAACCAGCTTCAGGACTTTGGTCTGCCAGGGACACTGAGGCATGGACAGCTCTGCCCCCTCGCCTCACTTCAGGTCCCCCCAAACAAAGACCCCACCCCCTAGACTGTCCTTTCCCCAGCAGCAGGCAACAGAACCAGCTCCAGGACTCTGGTTGCGCGGCATGTGACTTTTTATTTCTTTGTGTCGTCTTTTCTTTCTGCTATTATCCTCTCCTCTTCATCTTCCACCCTGCTAGAGGCACTAGACAGGTCTATAATCAGACATCTGAAATTCCCTAGTAACGTAAGTTTTTCTGGGATTCTCCCTTGTACTGATCCACCTGTCAAAAAGGAGATACTGCTTTTCGGGCACCCCAGTAGAGTACCCTTCTTGAGGCCACATTGGTAAAAACTGCAGAAGAGAGACTTCGGCAAATATCAATTTTTAGCAGAAGGGAAACTCACTTATTCCTAGTCGGGGAAACATTCCCATAAGAGGTATTCAAAAGTGAATACATCTCCCAATGGCTAGAAGTAGAAGAAGAGCCTCAGGTCTGAACAAAGAAATATGTCTCCACAAAAGGAAAATGGTAACTCCCCTCCATCTCTTGTAAATATGGAGGACATTACCAAAATGTCAAAGAATTTTGAACATTCATGGTTACCAAATTCTATGAGTTGGAACAGAAAAGAGACAACGAACTACATGACAATAGGAAGTCCTTCAAGGACATGAAAGAAGAAATGGACACTCAGAAAGAATCAGGTGGAACTATTAGAGATAAAGCCTATAATACAGGAAATCAAAAACTCTCTTGAAAGTATTAAAAGTCAATTAGACCATGCTGAAGACCAAATCTCTGATGTAGAAGATAAAACCTCTGACCTAGAAAAAA